CCCCCCACCCCACCCCCGGCCTTGCCACGGTGACGGCGATGATCTGCCTGATGTGTCAGCTTGCAGCGTGGAGCGATGGTGTTCGAGCTACCGGTGCTCCTGTCGTCCCTCCTAACGGGCTGGACGTTGACCTGCGGAGGGCTTCTCCCGGCCCTGGTGGACGCCGGGGTAGGCTGGCTGCTGTCTTCGGCGTGGCAGCGTAGGGCCGAAAGGTATGTGTGTGTTCTTTTGTTTGTTATTATTTGCATCACGAACCGGCTTGTGTGTGAGAGAGAAAGGGAGAGCAGCCTACGTTTCTTTTTTTCTTATGATAACAAAACCAATACATATAGGAAGTGAAGACAAAGACAAAACGACAACAAAAAACTATCGCTCTCCACAGATGAGTTCATTCCAGGATTACTTAGGAATGGACCCATAGCGTCAGCGAAACTAATACGTTGTTTTTCGTTGGTGGACGATGCGCGGCGCAACCTGTCTTTGGAAACGGTATATATCTCGCCGCACCCGGTGATGCCTAATTGGTACATACCGCGATCCAAGCCAAGCGAGCTTACGTATCCCCTGAAAAGAGACGCTTCTACATCGACGCGGTGACAGCCTGTTATGTGCGCAGTGCATGTATTTTTAGAAAATATGCTTCCGATCACGGAAAACTCTCCCTGTTAGGGATATAACCACGGTCGAAGGCGATATGTTGAAGTCTCAGTCTTTTCATTTTTGTTGTCACCTCTACATTACCCATCGCAAGCAGTTGTCGGGAGCCTTTTTTTTCTCCGTGCGCGGTCCAACGACAATGGGGCCTCCTCCTGTGTTTTCGGTCCGTTACCACCTTGTTGTGCGTGGCCTGAGCAGGCTGAGGTCGGAGGGAGAGCCTTTGAGACGCAGGCGGCTGGCGAGGGACTGGGGAGACGCGGCGAGCCAGGTGCGGCTGATGGTGCACATGGCGGACAAGCGAAGGCACGAGGAGATGGAGAAAGGGGGTGAGCAGCTACCGCAGGTCATAAGCTCCGTCCTTTCCGAGACGGACGGCTTTCGCTCTCTCGACTCGGAGCCTTCGGCTCTCGATCTTTGGTTGATTTGATTGGTTGGGTCGCGTCTGGTTTCGTCGTATGTATTTTTCCCGTACCCTGTTGTGTGTACAGTAGAGGTCCCTGTTTCGTGCCGGTTGAATAGTGCCGGTTGCCGGTATTGTGCCGATGTTTGCGGCTCGCAAACACTGGAATACCAAGTCGTTCTGTACTTTGAACAGTGCTGGTGAAACTTCGGCGCACACCCCGGCACGAAACAGGGACCTCTACTGTACAGTACCCTCTCCCTTGTTTCTTGTTCAGCCCATTTGTTGTTGACGCGGTTGCCCCCGATTTTTGGTGGACTAGTTCTGCCGAATAAAACGACGGGCGTCTGTGGTTTGCAGGCAGGCCAAAGACGAGAGGCCGTGTTTGTATTTTGTCTTTCCTGTGGTTCGTGAGCCATTTTTCGGCACCTCTCCGACGTTTTCAGGCAGCGTTTGATGCTGTTTTCCTTCTCACCTAGATGTGTATCCGCCTTAAAATACAACGAGAACATTTTTGTTCAAGCTTCCTTGACTGAGTGACTGACCTGCTGAATGTCGTGTTTTGTCCCCAAGTCTGAAAACCCTCGACCGCTATAGTTGGGATCGGGCGTTTATATGCCTCGCGTTCTGTGTTCGTTTTTCGTTAAGTTGAGGCGGTGGCAATCTATGCGCGTCACCTCCTCTCCATCTCTCTCTCTTTCTCTCTCTCTCTATCTCTCTCTCTCTCTCTCTCTCTCCCTCTCTCTCTCTCTCTCTCTCTCTCTCTCTCTCTCCCGCCCTCTCTGTCGTANCTCTCTCTCTCTCTCTCTCCCCCTCTCTCTCTCTCTCTCTCTCTCTCTCTCTCTCTCCCGCCCTCTCTGTCGTATCTTGCCGTGCTGATTTTCGTTACATAACAGATTTTCGTCCCTCGAACGAACAAAGTCCCTTCGCGTGGCCATCCCCCCGGCCATACTAACCCTAGCCCGACATCCGTCCCACCAACTCAAACACGAACCAGGGCTGGTCATCTTACTCGCGAGGTATGGCGCCGACCTCTCTCGCGACTGTGGGGAGCGGTGGTGGGCACAAGCTCCCCAGAATGCAGCGGCGGGGGGGGGCACTGCCGGAACACCGGCGATGCCTCTAAGCGGGTTGGTGGAGTCGGAGGGGCCCGAGGGCGCAGCGGCGGTGGAGCTGGTCTCTCAGCCGAACGTTGACGTCACCGTGCCCCTGCAATTCTTTGTCAAGGTGTGTGCAATACATGCTGTGTATCTGAAAAACGCGTGTAGGCCGTTTTCCGTGGTTCCGTTGTCCCCATTTCAAAGGGAATATGCTACAGTCACTGAAGAGACTACCCGTTCCCGTTCGAGATGGTGCCACAGACGAAGGGCGTGTGTTGTCGAAGTCTTTCAGCACCAGTGAGAAGGGAACACGTGTATGAACGCTTTTGAATTGTTCCTTTGCCCGTATTCTTTTTATATTTTGCAAAAGGAAGAAAAACAGCGGAAAAAATAACTTCTTCCTTTCCTTCCGCACCTCCTGCACTACACCCTCACCCCACTGTCTTTGCAAATCTCTGCCTTACCAACCGTCGCCCAACCGGGATGTACGACACCACACCGCCGCAGGATTCCACGCTAACGCTGCCGTTCGGCAGCAAGTCCCACCTCCTGGGCTTCTTCACCCCGGCCCCGTGCCGGTTACCCCGTCGGGAACCACGTTATTCGGATTATCGAGAGGGGGCACGCAGCCAAGAACGAGACGGGTGGGGAGGGGAGGGAACGGGAGGCTGGGGTTCCCCGCTCCCCGCCGCGGCGGCGCAACTGTGAGTGGCGAAATTTTTGTAGGGATCTTCTTCGCCCAAAAATGTGATATACGTTGTATTCTGTCGAGCCCCCCCGCGCAGGAAAGGTTCCGGCATTTTTGGGCGGGGGCGGGGTAGAGATGCGTGGTTCTCGTAGTTTTGGTGATCGAGTTGGAAAATGAAGAGCATGGTTGCACGCCGTTCGATGATGGAAGCTTTCCACAAAACAACCATTTTTTCCCTTATCTTATTAATAGTCTCCTGATGAGTTCACATGAGTTCACATATATCCCCTGCGTGACCTTCCTACCGCGTGGTTGACCCCGCCCCCCCCGGTTAAATACAGCCAGAAGATGCACCAAGGAATACACCAAAAGGCCTTCCAAGTGAAGCCTGACGTATAGAACCAATGGACACCGACAAACACGTACACACATGCACGTTTTCAACAGCACTGAGACTGACGTATGCTCGTTGGTCAGCCGGTTGGCGCGGTCGATGCTATTAATGAAGACGCACACGCGCGCGCGTTGTTAACCGCACTGACACTGACGTATTTCGTTGGTCAGCCGCTTAACGCGGTCAATGCTGACAAGAAACACAATACGGTATCTGTATTTCATCCGGAGAGTAGCGTAGCCTCCCCCATGACGCTCGGTCACAGGGTCCCAGATCATGGCCTATGGAAGCATTCTGTGTTTCCTCGCGCACTGAGACTCACGGCTTGTCATTGGTCAGCCGGTTAGCGCGGTCAATGCTAATAAGAAAGACACACACACACATACACCTTGGTCAGCCGGCGGGCGCGGTCGATGGTAAATCGAGCCACATATAACACGCATATCCCAGACACCTACAAGGAAGATTCCAGAGATGGAGAAGTATTGCTGTCTCCATTTTCTTTTTCACCACGACCGTCTCCTTTGCTCATATGTTCGCTGCTCCTTGCCGCGCGCGCCGCCCTTACCAGGCGCATTCGGTACCTGTTTGCCGGACGCACTTTCGAGGAAACCTTCCGGGACTGTCAAGAAGTCGTCCTCCCGTCGCCGACGTCGACTTACCTGGGAGACTCAAGCGTCCGATAGACAGTTACGGTTCATCGGAAAAACGGGTTCGTCCTTCCCTCGCCGACGGCGCCTTACCAAGGAGACTCAAGAGGGCCGATAGACGGTTGCGGTTCGTCCGATAGACGGCTACGGGTCGTCCGATAGACGTTTACGGTTCGTCCGAAGACGGTTTCGTCCTTGCCTCGCCGACGTCAAGGTACCACGGAGACTTGGGGGTCCGATAGAGGGTTGCGGTTCGTCCGGTCGTTGGTTACGGTTTATCCGAACACAATTTTGTCCTTCTCTTACGGACGCCAGCGTACCGGGGAGCCTCAGAGGTCCCATGAACGATTTTGGTTCGTCTGATAGACGGTTACGTTCGTCCGATAGACGGGTACGGTCCCTCCGTCGAATCGAGATCTCTGCGGGCCACGGCCTGCAGAAGCAAGCTTGAGAGGCGAAATCCAGATGGTTGGTGGGAATGCCTTGTTTCAAAATATATGTATGCGAAGTGTGTGTGGCAACATATTTGGCGGTGTTGCCCACGTATCACCAACAAGGAAACTAGTGACATAATCATACCTTGCCTGTTTGTATGACTGACAGATTGTGTCTATTTCGGACCTTTTCGTCTACATGTCCTGTATGCATACGGCCTGCGGCATCTATCCCATCCTCGTGGCCACTTGATGGCCAACGAATGAGTGCTCGGGATGGGTGCGCCTGTTATCTCATGGTTCTATTGTTTCCCGGCCCCAATGGCCCACGCGCTCTAGACTTTATGTTGCGTTGTTGCTTGTGGGAGGAAGTGACTCGGCGGTGATGTAGGGGTACATCGGGCGAGCTCAAGTCAATGCTGGAGGACAGAAAACATCCACCTGGATGCGTGAAAGAGATGAGTGCTCCGTAGGTGTAAGGAGGCGTTTCTCCCCCTAGACATGTCTGCCTACCTGCCTGCGAAGGGATGGATTTCTTTGTATTCTTGTCCGTAGCTGCTGTTGTTGTTGCCGTAGACGCTTGACTGGTTGGAAATTAGATAGTAGGGAGGCCCATCATCAGCAGGAAGACGCAGCAGCAGCAGCAGCAGTAGCACAAAAGGTTGGTCAGGTACTTGGAAAACAATTTTGTTGTGTCGTATTGATGTGGTGCACGATCGATTGCGAGACAATCGCAAGCCAATTTAACTGGCAAGCCAATTTGTTGTATTTTTTGTAGCAACAGAGTGTTCCTGGCTGGACGCATGCAGCGGCTGATTTTTTTTTTTTTATGTTCGTTTTTTGTTGCGTTTCGGCACACGTGCGCACGTGTGTGGGTGGTGTGATTTCCCCGACGTTGTTGGGGTACCACGTGAACGGAGA